TGGGTTGGAAACAAGCAGGACGGGGAGAGAAGCAAGATGATGATGCGTAGAGTTTGGTGATGTGATTGATGGGCCCAAAACAAAGCTCTGTTTCGCTAAATGTAAATATGGTTGTCTGTAGCCTAGTCAGTTGGGGATTCGTGTCGGTCTCCAGAAGGTTTCCCTTTTAAATCCCAAGTAGGGAGGGTAATAGCATCCACACTGGGCCTTGGAGTCCGGCCGTTAGCCCTCTCCCCCCCAGGGGCACTGGGGGCCGGCTGCTTTCCTCACTTGTACTGTGCTATGGAAAAAGGCATCTATTAAACAACTAAATGTACTGTAAACACAGTGGCCATCTGGCAGGAACCTCACGAAAGTGAAGACACACACACACACACACACACACACACCAATTTTCCCCAAAGTCATCATTTGGAAAATCTGCACACCTGGAGGACCAGGTGCGAATCAGACTCCTGCAGCTACACCGGAGGGAGATTAAAAACCTCTGGGGCAAATGGAGGTGGACAAGGGGCCAGGGAGGTGTGGACTGCAGATGGAAATGCCAGTTAGCTTCAGTGTCTTAAGTAATGAGTGAGAAAGTACTTCAGATATGAGCCGCTGGACCCAACCATGATTATTCATGATTATGTTTGTGGATTTTGTTCAGAATGAGCATTACATAAAGTATATAAATATAATTCAAGTAATCTACACCTGCATATCAGCCTTTCCAGAAATAATCGTTACTCAACAATAATATTGATAAAATTACATGAGTGCCAGCTGAAGTAGTAGTAAGAACAGTATCAGACGCTCCCCGCAGCATCATCGCCACCCACGGGAACGTAACCTCACGCCATTCGCTAAATGTGTCATCACTGGAACAGAAATGTACATATCCTGCCAACTTTACGGACACAGCAGTAGTAATACCTGCAAGTAACTAGGTCACAGGTAAATTGCTTGGAATGTTCAATGGAAATTCAGTGTGTTACATTTCTGTCGTGTTAGCCGACGGTTAAGTAGAAGTTATCCCCAGATCATCCATCCATTTAATAACAGAGTTTGTAAGTGAAATTTACCCACTGAAGACTTGCGTATGCGACATTTTGTAAAGAACAGTTAGAGGGCATCACGTCAGTGTGTTCAGTGGTGGGGGGCAAACGTGTTTCGTCTTGGTACGGTCGAGGCCCATCATGCTCCTTCCATTAAATTTTGACTTTGATTTTAATGTGTTAACAGCCCAGCACTGAGGTGTTAAAAAAAGTTCACCAGACAGTATAACAGTGCAGGCAGTCAGCAAAGCAACACTGTTTTTACCACGAGGGCGGCATCTTGGGCAGGGAGCAGCTTCAGGGTGTCCTTTAAAGGCAGCGTTTCCCAATCCAGTCCTCGGGGAGCCCAAGACGGTCCGTGTTTTTGCTCCCTCTCAGCTCTCTGCCAGACTGCACATTTTTGCTTCCTACCGAGAGCTGGGAGGGAGCAAAAACGTGGACCGGTTTGAGGAATAAAGTGCTTCATGCCACCGCAACCTCCACAGGTCACTAGAAACGTATAGCCCACCCTTCTTAGAATGTTAATGTTAAGTGTCCCCAGTGTAGCACTGGACCGAACTAGGAGGGGTAATGTGGGGTGGCGGGCTATGTTTCAGCCCCCCCACCTATGCCCCAGGAAGAAAGAATAAAAACAGACCACGGGAGAAGCATGACCTCTTTAATCTGTGCTGTTTTGTAACTTTAAAAAGCCACTAATGCAAAGCATGAAGTTCCGCTGTGAGTCTGGCAGCATCACCTGATGTTAATAAGTGGCTGCAGTCTGCTGGGAATGACGTCAGCCGTCCACAGCGGGTCGCCGTCACGCCTGCTCCAGGCTTACCTTGCCCCCACACGTCCTCGCCCCCCTTTCAGGCATGCTTACATCTTCCTCCCCTAGGTTATTAATCATGTGTCTGCCCGCCCCCAGCACTTTGAAGATTCCTCCCCAGGTGTTAGCAGGAGGCTGGGTCCCTGAAGAGCAGACGGGCCGCTCGCCCCACGGCCTACAGGTGTGTCTGGTTGGATCTGAGAAGCCACTGCTGTGGCCCGTAACCAATTCACATGGCGGTTTTCTTACTGCTGATAAACCACAAACCTCAGAAGAAGAAGAAAACATTTCAATGCCTGAGTAATTATTAAATGCAAGGATGTAAAAATGTAAGCATTGTGGGTTTCTGCACTGAAATGCCATCTAAGCAACAAAATAATGAACATCATAAATACCTTCCCAGTCTCATTGTGAAAAAACATGTCAGGCTGCCCTCTACTGGTCAGAGCTCCGTACCACAAGCAAGAACTGCTGTAGTCCATCAGAAAAATTCAAATGAGGACAGGGCGCCTCCTCTGGCCCAGGATGACCTTAATTTACATTCTGACCATGGAAGGCAGGTTGTGTCCTCACAGGGAGCCATTTTTTTTTTTAAAAAAAAGGGCTTAGAGAAGCTCAGCAGAATACTGCTTAAATAAATTTGGGAATGATTATGCTTGATGTTATAATTCAAGCCTATGTTGGTGCTGAATCCTTTAACCATTCAGCATGATGCTATAAATACCCAATAAATAGCCGTCATGCAATAACTGAAACAATTAAAATGGCTTCGATCAGCTGGTTATCGTGGCTTTAGTGTTTAGTTTTACCTGGCTGCGATTACGGGTTTGATGTAATTTACATATGAATCTACTCATAAAGGTGATTTCTATATGAAGTATGCTGCTCCTTTAAACACTGGTAGTTCTAATCCCACTCGCTATATACATGCTGTATCCCTAAACTCCACATTATGTAGTTTAATGGAGGAGAGGTTAGCTGAGCTGAATCTGTTTAGTCTTGAGCAAAGGAGACTAAGGGGGGATATGATTCAGGTCTATAAGATTCCAACGGGTCTGGATGCTGTTCAGCCAAATGGCTACTTCAATATTAGTTTGGCCATAAGAGGAAATTAGCGGGAGAACATTTTAAAACAAATTTGAGGAAGCACTTCTTTACACAGCGTGTAGTTAGAGTATGGAATAGTCTTCCTGCTAGTGTAGCGGAAGCTAAAACCCTGGGTTCCTTTAAATCAGAGCTAGATAAGATTTTAACAGCTCTGAGCTATTAGTTAAGTTCTCCCCAAACGAGCTTGATGGGCCGAATGGCCTCCTCTCGTTTGTAAATTTCTTATGTTCTTTGAGGAACTGTTAGATTATTGTGAGCTGTGAGCCTTCCTATCAAGGAGCAGTTTAAGTGGAGGCCAGGAAGCTATTAGTGTGTCGTGGATTCAAGCTTCCGGAGACGCTTGACTTACTTAGTATTAGAGTCCGAGTACCAAGTCCTCATGACATAATCAGAATATTCAAGGCCCCTTATGTTTACTTGCTTGATGGGTTGAGCTTCTTGTTTCCCGTCTCATAGTGGACTTGCTTTATGTTTGAAGGGGTTCAGTGCAGAATGTACCCTTTCCTTAGCTGGTGCCCATGGCTTTGTGTATAAATCCGCCTGCTGCTTGGTGAAATGCTCCTGCTTAAAATCCCCGCTCTTTGGTACATAACTGCTGTATCCTTTATCTTTCAGTGAAGTAACTGGTCATTTTGAGCAGGAAACCTTCGGTTTTATGGCGCTGGAGTTTGAGCGTCTCTGTGGCATTCTGCGATGCAGCCCCATAATCATTCTGTTGTATTGGTTTTAAGCTGCATAGCTGCTCAATTTATTATAATGCATTAGCTTCTGAATACCCAGATTTCATGAAATAATATAAATATGTAAGATCCTTCTTCTGGCAGGTTCAGCTAGCTCAGTGCTTCTTGTGGCCTTGCTTTTTACGCCTGTGGTTCAGGCTGAATACATCATTCATTATGTTTCATAGGTATCTGTGGCTTAGTGTATAAATAAGCATATTCTTAGGTTAACCATTGCTGGTTCAAAATACACTCTGTATGCAGTGACTGTATTCTGTAAATAACTTACTGTTTCATTGTATGGCTTTAGTCCTAATGATACAATTGGGATCTTTCAGCAGCTGTTTCTAGGCCATCTGGGTGGCTCAATGGGGACAATGATGGCTTTGGCCTGTGGTGTCCTGGGTTTGAATTCTGAATCAGGTAAGTATGAATGCATAGTGCCAGTGCTGAGGATTGTATGGGATGAGCAATATGGCTGGTTTTGAGGAGTATTTATGTTATGGGGGGGGGGCTCTAGTAGAGGCCTTTATATACACTAATTTAGATAAAGACAAACTTTATTACGTTTAATGTTTCTTATCGGCCATTACTTAGTGATCTGAAATCCTTCTAGGCTTCTTCCAGCACCATCATGAACATGGGTTGTATCCCCCTCTAGAGATCCACTCACTCTTACAGGCACTTAGGACTGTGACCTTCAAGTTCACCTGCACTATGATTCACATGGGATTCAAACCCATCACCTTGCGAGGGAAAAGTCAGCAGCATTACCACTGGACCGCAAGCACTCTACTAGCACTCCTCCCTCTGAACACCTACTTGAGTCCTTGAATACTGGTGATGTTCAAAAGGCAAAGGGAGAATAGAACCCTGTAACATCAATAGACCCAGTTACCACAAATCCAGCAGCTACTGCCAGTGATAAAGGTGGTTTCTTATCTCTTTTGTAGGTGCATTTACACTTGAAAGAGATAAAGCGATTGCTGGTTTGGACAAAAGGACCACAGACATAAACACATCTGTTTAGCCCCTAACCACTCAACCAGTAGCATTAAGCACCTCTTTTAACATATTTAAAAATGTTAACCTAATGAGCTTCCTAACCCATTGTTAACTAAACCCTGTCAGTGAAACACGATACCCCAGCTTTACAATCAGTTAAGCGCATAACTAGTGATGAGTTGACTTGACTACCATGCTCTGAGTCGCTGGCATCGTCGCTTGATGGATTATGAATGCAGAGGGTCCTAGACTGTGGTCCAGTGTCCATTGACTCAAAACCCAGTGACTGTTTACTTAAAATGGAGCCATTAATATTTAGGCTTCTTTGAGTTTGAGCAAATTTATTTTTTTTAACCATAACTATTAATAATTTAAAAAAAGGGGTGACCATAAATATATCTAAAAAAATATTATAAAAACAGGACAAATCTCGTTTCCACAAATGTGCACAAAAGGGAGTAGAAATTATGTTTGCGCTCCAGTTCTTGAGTGTGTGTCACACTGCACAGGACACGGCTGTCCCTGCTGGACCGGCGGCTGTGCTGCTGAAGGACAGGTCCTGGCTGCGTCGGTACCAGTCTGTTCCGGTGGACAGCTGGAAGCCTGATCAGCCATTGTGGATCCATCAGTCCCAGCTTGCTTCATACCATAGTACCCCTCCCCTCGACTAACTGATCGCCGGCACCCCCATATGCTGAGCTCCAGCACCAGCAGGGGGCGCTTTGGGGCTTCCCAGGGAGTCGGTGAAGTGGAGCGAAGTGAAGCCCCCACCCCCCAGGGCTCAGTCCTCAGAGCTCTCCTCCGACTGCTCCTCATTCGTCTCTTTCCAGCTTCTCCTTTTCCTTGGCGGCTCCCCCTGGGCCTCGGGGCTGACACCCCGTTTCCTGGTGACAGTGGGCTGCTCCCCCCCCGCCCCCCCAGAGTGGCTGTCCCCCGTGCTGCTGTCAGCCCTCGTCTCCTGCTCCTTCTCCCTCCTCCTCCTCCTGTGCTTTGTCTTGCCGCTACTTCGCTTCCGCCGCTTCACCCCTCTGTCGCTGCAGCTCCTGTCGTCCGCAGAGTCGCCCGCCTTCTTCCTCTTCTTCTCTTTCTTTTTCTTCTTCTTCTTCCTGGCCGACTTCTTGGAGCGCTTGTGCTTCTCGGACTCTAGGCTGGCTTTGGTCTTCTTCTTCCTCCGCTGTACATTCTCACCGTCGCTGGACTCCTTCTCACTGAAGAAGAAGAAAAAAACAAAAATCAACTTTCAGTGCATGACTTGCTCAGAGTGTGAATTTCAGTCATTTGTAACAGCATTACCACCTTCCTCTCATTTTATAAATACCTGACATCTTCTCTAACAGAAATGCTCAGCTCCTTAAATACTTGCATAAATGCATTTATAATTTTACTGTTTTCTGAAATTGGAAAGGTACAACAGAGGTAGATGTTTTTTGTAATTTTACAGAATTAAAACATTCACTGTCAGCTACGGATAATTCCATAAATGCAACGGCAGTATATCACGCTACCAGTGACGGCTGTTTAAGGCGGACCACGCTGGCGATCATCTTTCCTTACCTGTCTGACTGGAACTCCTCTGGGTAGAGCTCTTTAAAGCCGCTGTGTCCCCACCTGAAGCACACTGCAGTGTTACCTATCGCTTACAGTCACAGCAGACACCCAAGCGTTTACACGACAGGCCCGCGCATAAGAGGCCGCCCGTCACGCACCGATCCGGGTCGCTGGCCTCGAACTCGTACAGCTTGCGGGTCCAGTACCGCGCCTCCCGCTCTGACCGCTCCCCGAGCCGGTCTTCGGAGGAGCTCCGGCCTTCGGCTGCGATGCGATCGCAGTGCATGCTGCCCCTGGTACACGCAGCAGGTGATCACACACGGGACACGCAAAGATGTGCCGAAAAATCACTGACACACACAGTTAATGCGCACCTGGCCAGGTATGCCGGGGCCGGCCTCCTGTGACAACTGCGCCCCTGAACCTGCTTTTCCATGTCGCGCAGCTTCCACATCTCAGACTCCTCCTGAATCTGACAGTCGTGGGGAGTGTTGTCTTGGCTTAAAAAAACGGATCTCAGCCATCAAGTACGAGAGTAGCAACACATGCACGAAGGCCAGTGATCTCTTGCGTCAATGAACAGTATTAAATAGTCCCTTACTAAAGATATACAGACCTTATTGTGCGCGTCCGTGTGCCTTATTACGTTTCGCAGCAACACCTTTCCCATGGGTACCCGAGACATGACGACACCTACAGGCGAAGCATAAAACATCATGTACACATCAGAAAGCCATTTTCCGCAACAAGATTGTGGGTTTAATAAATACGTCCTACCGTGCTTATGTCGGAAAGAAAGACTGTCTTGTTTATATTAATATTACATCCTATCCGGCGGACCGCTTTCATTAACGGCTTGTCCTTTGTGGCCAGGTTGAGCTAAGAGCTCTTACAAGCTCGTGTAACACCGGAAAAAAAAGTTAACGTGTTTGACAGCTACAAAGTTTCTTGTATAGCCAACTTTGCCTCCATACGTGCCATTGCATCTGCAAAGTTACCCTCTGTTACTAATAAATCACTTTAAAGGTCCTTCTTACGACAGCCGTATCTATGTATAGCTGCTGAGTTACCTGTGTGGCACTGTATCATACTAAATGGCCAGTACTAACTGTAGGGGACAAGGATGTCTACTTCAGACAGGTACTTCATTTAAGAGGATAGGAGGGATTAAAGTCCAACCTACCCATTATACATTAAACCGGAATACTAACAAGAAACCAACTGGCGCTTAGGGACCTTTCGGAAGCTAACACGCTAACAGCTAGCTTTCCCTAAAGGCGTTACCGACAAACACCTTGACATGTTTGATCTCAAAAATGCAATAACATCTGTAGCGTCGTCACTTCATAAATGCAAACAACGCAGTCTGAAACCAAAATCTTACCCTTCCGCGAGAGTGATATTAATGAAGACCAGCTTTTATTATACCGAATCCAGACACATAAGACTTCCTCCCTAAGCTTGAACAGTGCGGAACCACGTGTCGTGCGATTAATCCCGCCCACTAAAAAACGATTGGCCGTCGTCTGCATTCTGATTTGGTAATCTGCTGTCAATCACTCTATCCCGGGAGTACGGGATTGGGCGACGGTGTTTCGGCTTTTAAAATTGGCTGAGTATGATGTGAAAAAGAAAAATATTGACTACTAAAATACCCAATAAGAAAAGGTGTACACGGTGTGTAGTTGTAATGGGATAGTTTTATCTTTAGAGCAATCATAACCCCCTTCTGTTTAAAACACGGAAAACACTATGCAAGATATTTAAACTGAATTTATTGCAATGAAAATATTTTTGGATTTTCCAAAAGGTTGCCCAGGCAGACAGCCTCTGCAGTCTAATTCTGTACTTTTGCTTAAAATCTGCTCTCTCGACAGGGCATTCTGTGTTTGCTCGGATCCCTCTTCTTGAGCCAGGGTTGTGACCTAATAAGGTCCACCTGAGTTGTTATTATCACAAAATAAAAGACCCTGGAGAGACTGTGGACCGGCAACAACGGCACTGTCCATTAGTCTGTGGAGGGTTCGTAAGATGCGCTGCCGGGTTCTGGATGGTGCAAATAGAAGTTGAGACCTTTGATGGAGATTATGGAAGCCTTTGAGACCTTGAGCTCAGAGCAGAGGCAGGGACACAGACAATGTTTCTCTCTTTCTGTTGAAAATGGCTGTGGTTTCCTCCTCTCTTACTGCTGCTGGGAGCTCCAGGTGAAGTCGGTATAGGTCCTGTACCTGCAGCAGGATGTCATCCTGTGGGAAGACAGGAGGTACCTAGTAAGCAGTAGACGTACCTAGATGCACTGTGGGGTGGCATGAGACCAGCACGATGAGCATGGCTAAAACATCAGAGAAAAGCATGTCCCACTAAGATATGCACCTCCTCAAAATATCTGCAGTAAAAGCTACATATGTCTACACGGTATGTTTTAGAAATTGCGGATGTGTCACGATGATGGTGAGGATGAGGAGGATAACGAGGACGAAGGCAGCTACCTGTGAAGCCATGAGCTGGCACTGGGAGACAGAGCGGACGCCAGGCAGGAGCACGTTCAGGCGGACGCTCGCCGCCGGGCCCTCGCTCAGCGTGAGCTCGTACTCCGGCTTATGAGGCCATGCCGTCTCCGTGCTGGAGATCACCTGGATGAGAGGTGGAGTTTGGGGGCCGGGCTGCTCCAGGGGGGGCAGGACCACAGGGGGGTCATCTGCTCTGCTGCGGAGTGAGGAGATCTGCTGCAGAAGGGAGGCGCCTGTGGGAACTCGGCCTGTGGCTGACGACGGAATACAGTTATTACCTATATCGCCATTACAGCTTGAATCTTATTAGTAATAATAATAATAATAATAATAATAATAATAATAATAAATGACACTTTTATTGACCCTCATGGGGAAATTCTCTATTTTGGACTTCCTTTGCCGGTCCTATGAGGTTGGGCTCCCCCTTTGAGTTCGGTTCCTCCTAAGGTTTCTTCCTACTAGTTAGTTTTTATTATTATTGCTATGATTATCATTATTACTTGACCCAAATATAAGACAAGGATTTTTTTCCTCAAAATACATCTGAGAAATACGTCTGCTGTCATCTTATATTTGGGGTCTAGACAAAAAAGGTTGTAGATGGCACCAAATGGGATATTTTGTCACAAGCGTTTTGATTTACCGTTCTATTGATTTGCCGTAAGAGTCTGAAGGCGTGAGTGTCGCGCCAGACGTGTGAGAGCTGGCATCCCTGGCGGAGTGTGTGTTCAGCGTGTATCCCTGAGTGCCGAGTAAGTTGTTGGCTTCTCTGGCTGTGCCCCCCCCCCACCCCACATAATTCATTTGTTTTCTGAAATGTTCGCTGTTTAACACTTAGTGTAATCAGATTGCCTACGGTTGCTTTTTTAACTGTGGTTGCTGGTTAACTTATTATAAATAAGATTTGGGATTCTGAAAACTTTTTTTCTAAAAATAGTTGCCAAAAAGTGGGGGGGCTGTCTTGTGATCGGGGTTGTCTTATATTCGGGCCAATACATTGTTATTATTATTATTTGAATTAAGGTTCCAGTCACCTCTGGTCTCTGGGGGCATTCGGCAGGGACAATGTAATATTGTGAAAATGCACTATATAAATAAATTTCATTTGAACTGAATTGAATTTTCATCTGCCGCATCTTACTCTCCCTGACACATTGGCAGTGAAGGGCAGCCACCTGCAGCAGGGTCCATGGACCTGGGGGTTAACGGCCTTGCTCAAGGGCCCCGGGTTATTCTGCCAAAACCGGGCTCAGACCGGTGAGATTCCCATCACAGGATAACCATGCAAATTCATCACAAAGCTTTCCATGCCTAGTATGACATCAGCTGTAGCTGCTTGCGTCCTGTCAAATCAGTGGAGATCGTTGCCTGCTGCAGTCTCTCACCCGTGCAGGATTTGCACCAGGCTGAACTAATCAAACGCTCATCAGCGACCGCTCTCATTCTGCTCTTCGCCTTTTCCAAGGCCTCCCAAGTGGAAAGCACTTTCAAGCAATAAAAAAACAGAACCACTAGACACAAATACAGCTTCTTCTGACAAGCTGTAGTAGCCATCAATCAGTGATCTCCTCAAATTACCTCATATTTACCTCACTATTTACCTCATTATTAAAATGACCTCATTATTGCTCACCGGCACCTTGGTGTTAAATTACATTGTTCTTATCCTGTAGTTTCTACCCTCTAGTCATTTCATATACTTACACATATTTATATTTGATTCTGTTCTTCTGTACATATACATAAATAATACTTTACATCTGCTTAGCTGTATATTTGTTGTATTTACTGTATTTTTATCAGTATATCCAAGTCTGCACATTTCATACCAAGTAAAATTCCTTGTGCATCTTCATGATTGGCGGATAAACCTTGATTCGGGTTCTGTTACCTGGGGCAACGGGCCGCCGTGAGGAGGCGAGGCGCTCATGCAGACCCCACATGCTTCCCATCAGGTTGGTTTCGGTGACCGAGCAGCCCTGCGACACCTGGAGGCCGTGTTGCTGCTGCGCAAAGTCCACGGCCAGCCGGGCCAACCGTGCACGCCGGCCCTCTTCCTGCTCTCCATGCAGGACCTCAGGGTTGAAGGCCACATCCAGCAGGTAGTACGTTTCTATGGGAAGAGGAGAGGGCCGGACCATGGCTGTCAATCGACACCGGCTGCTTCCTACTCTCTGTAGGTGTGCTTTCTGATTGGCTGATTTGCAGGGTGCATTTAGGATATGCAGAGGCAAATTCAGTTTCAAGTGTCATGGTCATGTGTGTAAACACAGTGAAATTCTTATGCTACAGTTGCAGGGGGGGGAGGCAGATGCTTGGGTAGATGGGACAAACATCAGTGCAATACTGGCCAAGACAGTGCAAGAGAAGATAGTATATTATAATAAGTAGTGCAATATGGGGATGATACAGCTAAGCAGGATGTACAAGTTGATACAATCTAAAGTGTTAGAAACATGCAGGAAGTACATTGATAAAACAGGATTGTGCAATACAGTGGTAGTAGGATGGACAGGCACAGTTTGTTGGTTGCTTGGCAACCTGAAGCGAGTGTGGCAGGTGGGAGCATAATGACCAGTGGGCTGGAAGTACAAGAGCTGAGACCCTGCTGGATGAAATCATGACATACCCAGGCCGTCTGAGACTGTCTCCAGCCTCCCCCCGCACACAGGCACGGCGTGGGCCGGGGAATCCGGCCGGGGGACCCGCTTCCAGCTGCACACGTTGATGTACAGCACCCTCTCCTCTGGCTCCTGCCACACACTCACCATTACTTACTGTACTTGTGTCCAAATCCTGCAAAGCCACTGACTCCGCTGGTTTTAGACCGGCACCAAATCACAGTATCACAGCACTCAGCACTTGCTCTACCGTTAAAAACACCATTTAACATATACAGCACTGCAGCAGGGCTGCCAACTTCGGTCAGCTGGCTGCGGTGTGATTTTCAAATCCTGACAAGTCTCACATGTGTTTCTGCGCTTATGCACACACATGCACACGCACTTACATGCATGTAACAGTTTTATTACCTCGCAAAAAGCATGCAGGGTTTGCAATTACCCCAACACTGTTGATGCGTGAGAGCTGCCAGTGCTACTGCAGTTAAATTCAGCGTGAGAACTGCCACAGCAGCTTAGATCTGCAGCACTGTACCAGTATCATACCAGTATCCGGGTCCGCAGGCAGTACTTGGGCTCGGGCCGTGTGCAGAAGTCGGCGCCCTCCTGGAGCTGCCGGCGGATAAAGGCCCGGTAACCCTCCGGGTCGCTGTCAGCCATGTCGTCCAGCATGGCCCACAGCTGCTCAGCTGGAGCCCCCATGTGCATCCTGCTCACTGCCGCTAAAACGGTCAATGGAAAAAAAAATAGCACTATTTAATAGCTACAGTCAGATACAGATGACAGTGCAGTACTGTGCAAAAGTCTTAGGCAATCAAACATATTTGAAGCTATTTATCTGGGTAGTAGGTGCACATTTGCTCAGAACAACAAAAAAAAAAAACAATTTATCATTAGAACATGTGCAAATTAAGAGTGACACAATAAAACCAGTATAAATTTCTTCTGTTCTCCAAAAAGTTACTGACATGTTGGATGGCTACAGTAGATATACAACGCTTCAGTTCCCAAACCTCTCCTCAAGGGCACCCCAATCATTCCATACATTTGTTAAATTTCACCAGCAGCTCACTTAATCCATTAATTAATTAGTTAAGAAAAGTCGATGAGATATTGATTAGCTATATGAGGTGTGCTAACTGTAGATAGTGGATGAATTAAGTGAGCCGTAGTGTAGTGGATGGTTGCTACAAATACTGGAATGATTTTAGCATAAGTTTTGAAATGGCCAAGCTAAAACATTCTGACGAGAATAATAAGCGTAGTTTTATCGTACGGCGTTAATTAATTATGATCCGTGCAGCCGACGCAAATCCCGACTGAGCTTAGCATGTAAACTAACTGGCGCACCAAAGACCGCCGCTAACTAGTCTTCACTGAACCTAACTGCTAAGTTACCAACCCAGCAAATGAATGAATTTCACACTGCAATGAAAGCCAGCACGATAAATTCTCAATATCAAATTGTAGTGAATAATACAAAACCTTTAGCTTGTTTACACTGGTTAATGAGTTTACATGTGATTTACTTACCTATTTTTATTCTCCAAGTAACGTACGGTCTGCTCGGCTACTGTTAGTTGTTCCCGTTACCATAGAAACGGGAGGGGGGGGGGGGGGGGGGGGGGGGGGGTTGGCAGGGGGTATTCAGAATGCGGGACAAACGGCACTCGCCACTTCCCGGAAACGTGAAACAGTAATAACTCACGCCAGATCCGACTGTTACGTGTAAGACCGTTTTTATTTATACTTGTTTCCGTACAGCCAGAATTTCAGAGGATAGAATTTCTGACCCCAGAAGAAACTTTAGTTTCTTCAATCCTAAAATGTACCAGGATATTTGACCAATATTTATAAAATATATTTGATTATTATTAAATAACCTGTGTCTTCACAGTTACAATGAAATATAAAAGAATCATACATACATTCATAACTGTTGAAAATAAAATATCACCACAACTAGGATCTTTTCACAGGAAATACAAAGTAAGTGTAATGACTGGACGGGAGGGGGATCCAAGCGGTGAACAGTCTGGAGTTCGCTGCTGGCGTATCAGTACATTCATGCATGTGACTAATAAGAAAAAAAAAATCTTGAATCTTGTGATGCAGGACAAATAAGCCTGAAGGAGAACCAAAAACCAAGAAAGCCAGTGGGACAGACAGGAGTCAAAAGCCAAAACCACATCATAAGACAAATAATGTAGTGGGATACTCAATAGATAAGAAGAGGTTCATTGATAAAGCAGGTCCTTTTAATCCATGATAGGCAGGTGGATGAGCTACAGGTAATCAGGTGACCCACCTGGGCGTGGCTCGATGTGGGCATGACAGGGAAATCCACATTTTTCTGCCTTTAATGCACTTCAGGAAATTCCTTGCATATCTGGCCCACAATTACAGCACTGAGGCTGGACAGGATGAGATCAGTGATTCATGAATAGAAATGATTACAGGAAATTGCAGTTGCTAATTTAGGGTAATTTTTTCTGGTTTGGTGCATCGGTCTTCATCAGGGTGTAGTTCTTGCTTCTTGGGTCACCTGACAGTCTGTCCTGAGAAAACCTCTCCGTCTCAGCAGGGAGGCACCACCACGAACTCAATCAGGTGCTGCTGGATCGAACACAAAAACCGGCCGTCCTCACTGAGGTCTTCATGCGCTGGCGTTGTCCTCTTCAGTGACTCTGACATGGAAAACAGGATGTTTCAGTGAAAGCATCGCTGCATACAAATGTAATATGATGCAGAAATGCAAATATATCAGCTGCGGGGGGGGGGGGACCTGGCCTGGGGAGTGAAAGTTTTGCATGTTCAGCTTATCAACTGCTGTGGAGGAGCCAGGATTCACTGAACCAATCTCTCCATGAATGATATACAGTGTGTACCATCATAAGTCAGCAACACTGCACTGTGTTCATTATCATTGGGAAGTATTATGAATGAATGAATGAATGAATGAATGAATGAATGAATATTACATTTTATGGCATTTTTCGATACACCCAATGCGCTTTACAGAACCAATGGGGAGCCACTACAACCACCACCACTGTGTATCTCATATCTGTTTCATTTAGAAACTCTGCATTTTTATGTTAACCGAACACAAAGGCGTCAACCTATGGAACATTAGACTGAAAATACGCACACAAATACCTGCAAGATACCCCCAGCATAAAAACAGTCTGGACAATACGTGTCAATTCAGGTATGTTTTGTTGTATTATGTAAAAAGAAAAAAAGAAAAAAAAACTTAGTTTGATAGAATGTCCATCCTCATTCTTATTCCTGTTTGAGATTATAGTTTTGAAATGACATTCCTCATTTCAAAGGTCTGCGAGTGCTGGCGATGTCCTCTTCAGTGACTGACATGGAAAACAGGATGTTTCGGGAAAAGCATCGCTACATATGAATGTAATACGATGCAGAAATGCAAATGTATCAGCTGGGAAGGCAGCCAGTCTGCAGCAGTACACTCACCACACAGTGGCTAAGTGGTGAAGGAGCAGGAGAGAATTCACCAGTTAGATATAGGGGATGATTAGGAAGCCAGATATGAAAGAGCCACAGTGGCCAATTTAGGCCAGGCCTCAGGGTACCAGCCCTGCTCTTTCAAAGGATCTTTTATGACCTCAGAGAATCAGGACCTCAGTTTTACGCCTCATCTGAAGGACACGCCATTTTTACAGCACAGTGATGTGGACACTGTGTCCCTGCACAGGGGCATTGGCATCCACACAGACCGCAGGATGGGCTCCCCCTGCTGGTCACATCAACACCTCTTGCAGCAGTAACCCAGCTTTCCTAGTTGGTCTCCCATCTATGTACTGGCCAGGCCCAAACCTGTTTAGCTTCAGGTGGATGACCTGCTCTGAGCAGCAGGTGGTGCAGCTGCTGATAATTATGCCGAATAAATGACCTCTATCATTGAGGAGATTTCGAGGCTTTATGAAGTCCATGTTACCTCCATGGTGTTGTATATCCAGTCCAGGAACTCGACCACCTTGCTATAGACGCCGGGCTGGTTGGGTTCAGCACAGCCTGTCCCCCAGCTGATCACGCCCACGAGCCTCCACATGCCATCTTCCTGGCACACCAGCGGCCCCCCGCTGTCCCCCTGGGGAGGGTGACAAAAAGTGCGGCGTGTCCCCGGTTTCCCATCGCGTCCTCGGTGACACGGTGTCAGCAGTGTGACTTTATGAGACGGAAGCGTGGAAGCGGTAACATACACTGTACCACCGATGATATTCTGTCACTTCAGCTGATCGCACCAGTCTTGGTAAATGCAGTGATCAGACTCGGGTTCACAGATCCCAACTCACCTGGCATGTGTCCACCTTGCCTTCTGTGTATCCGGCGCACAGCATTCTGGGAGTGATCTCGCCATTGTACATGCAGGAGCTGTTGCACTTCTTCATGCTAATTAGGGGCACCATGGCCTCCTTAAGAGTGTCAGGGATATGAACTGCAGCAGAGGAAAGGACATCTGTAAGGAGAAGTACATATAAATAATACTGCAATCATTACTCTTACACATGGAGAGTATGGCATGACGGGTTTAGATATACAGTACCCGTCAAAGGATTTAACACACTAAGCCGCCTACAAATGATAGTGATAGTGTCGCATCACATGACCTGGGGCCTCATGTATAAACGGTGCTTACGCACAAAAATGTTGCGCACGCCCGTTTCCATGCTCACGTCGAGATGTATAAAAACTAAACTTGGCGTACCGCCACGCACATTCTCACGGCAACCCCAGACAAGGCGTACGCAAGTTTCTGCTCGATTTGGCAAAATGGAGGCACCTACTGGCAAAAGAGTGCTACTGCAGTTTTCACTGTCTCGCATTCATGACGCGGTCTGCATGAAATACACCGAAATTATTTGGCCACCTGATCGTAATCAATCTGTGACAATAAAACGGTGCAGGGAAAGACAAAAAATATTCC